TCAGAGACAGACACACAGACAGACACACAGATAGATAGATAGATAGACAGACAGATAGACACACACACACACAGTCAGAGACAGACACACAGACAGACACACAGATAGACAGATAGATAGATAGAAAAAAACAGAAACAGATATGGACCGACAGAAGAAAAAAAAACAGATAGACACATAACAGATAAATAAAATAAATAAATAAAAAAACAACAACAGCAACTGACGAACAGACAGAAAAACAGACTGATCGTCACACTCACGATATCCACATCTTCTGCAGCCTGCTCTGATGTTGTCTTTGTTTGGACCTGTTAGAAATAAAAACACATTCAGTACCGCTTCAGGACGTGAATTCATGATCCCATATTACAATACCAACCACTAGCTGCAAGATATGGGAGATTTAATCCAAATCTAGAAGGATTTCAGAATTTATCTCACCATTCAAACATCGAGCATTGTTATGTCAACATTGACATAATATCTTACAAATCGGTTAACAGTTACCTACAACTAAGTGTGAAATATGAAGTCTGAAATACAAGGATATGTGTCTGATGTGAAGCAACCGCTCTGTTGTTGACGAGTGAAGATACTAATGAAGCGAAGGATAGTTTCTCGAACATTCCAGAAGTACCACATCAACAACATTCAGCAAAACTACCCATACCTGGGACAGCCATGATATAATCGACGGTTTATCAACCTAAATTATAAAAGAGCAAAACAAAACAACTCGTTTGTTTTTGCTCCGCCGCTTTTCAAAACGTGAACCCGATCTGTTTGGTAAAAGACTCCGACTGGAACCGTCGACGACACTGTGGTTCCACATACAGACCCGTTCACCGATTTCCCCCAGCAGAGAGATCACAACCAAAGAGCACAAAGAGCACGATGGTGTAATGAGGACAGACTTTTAAGGACGCTAAATGAAAACCTTCCCCTGAATTGTTAGAAACTCATTAAAGAAAACTCTGCAATCACAAGCGGCTGTGATTGGATCATCTTCACCAGCGCGGAGAAAAGTAACATGTTCCACCTGACAACACAATCAACAACTACTTCAGAAGCCTGAATTACACTTATATATTCGGATTTTATATATTTAAAATGGCACATTGAAGATAGGACAACGTTTATTATCCTTCATTTAAATTCTATATCTTCTGATAACAGTCTTTGACAGGATATATTAATATTTACCCTATCATTCTCCGTTACGGCAGAGGGCGACAAGGAACGAGGAAATATCCTCTTTCGCGGCATGGCATGATTTTGCTTGTAAACATCACATAAGAAAATACTTCATATTTGTTAGACGTGCTTATTATGTTCTTGTAATAGCTGCCTATAGTTTGTACTTTTGTTATCAACCAGCTTTGAGGGAAATATACCCAAATAATACGCGTTAAAGATGAGCAACATATATATTCAAGAGCCACCCACGAATGGAAAGGTGAGTTTAAAACCCATATTCATGCGAAATAATGAAATGTAATGTTCATCAGATGATATATTCTACTCCATTTTTCGTCTAATTTTTCTTTTTGTATTTTTAAGAGTTATCATGCAACACTGCTTTTATTACATTTACTTCATTTTTGTGTTATTAGCACTGTGAAGCCTTACATATGCAATTATAGATTTTTAAAAAGAGAACAGTTTGCATATGTGTGTTTTGTTGATGATCGTATTCAATATTATATATATATATAAGCGTTTATAGCTCATATAGTATGATATATATGAGAATATGGAGTTGATACTTCAGGAGGACAAAAAAAACCCCTCCGTTTTATTTAGAGTCCAAAACTGAGCAGTTTGGTGCAGTTGCTGATATTTATATGGTCTAAAAGATGGAATTCTGATAGCTTGTAATGTTAATCAATGAGATCTTTATAAGAGTAAAACTGACAACTTGCATACATTTATATAAGTCAGTTATTATCACTCTATATCTCCCAATAATATGTCTGAGTATGGTGATATTTAAATGCCTAGTTTTATATTCAAAGCGCTGTAATTTTTAGTGGGCAAAACTTTTAATGCAATGTAATAAATGATGCCTGAGCAAAAAAACACTCACATTGTAACATGATTAAATATATATATATATATATAGTATGGATAATCAAGGAAACCTAAGATGCTGCAGTCCATTAAGGGTTTATCTTGAAACATCAGTAACAATAATAAAGTTATTCTTGTGTTTACTTCATAAAAATCAGTAAAGATTTCACAGCAAAAAGACCCATGACCTTAAGGTGGACATTTTTATAATTATACTAAAATGCCTTCTTATAAATTATAAGTCAGATGGCATAAAGCATTTAGTAGATTGTTTGTGAACCAGTATTTTTTTAAGCAAAGTATTGATTATGTTAATACTTTAGAGGCCTTAGAAATTTGCTTATCAAATATAATGCAGTAGGCTTTATTGGGTAATTTGAGCTATATTTGCTGTGTATATTTCTTCATTTCCTGTGTCACTGAAAAGCCTTCTTAAAGCACAAAAACCATTGTAACTGTGTAATGACAAACTGATATTTTCTCATAGGTCTTGCTGAAGACCTCCGCAGGTGATATTGATATAGAGCTCTGGTCTAAGGAAGCTCCCAAGGCGTGCAGAAACTTCACTCAGCTCTGTATGGAGGGTAGGTGGCGTCATACTTCGAGATTTGCAGACATAAAATGCAAACAAGACAAGGCACTTGTCATGATGTCATGTTTTTAAATGAAATACCCTGATTACTCATCATAAACATTTACCTCTGTTTCGCAGGTTACTATGATGGCACAATTTTTCATCGTGTGGTGCCAGAATTCATTGTTCAAGGAGGAGACCCCACAGGCACTGGGACGGGAGGGGAGTCCATCTATGGTCGCCCTTTCAAGGTTGCTTTTGCTTTTGTTATTCACAAGATTAAGTGGATGTGTAATTGGCATATGTATAAGAATGTGCAGGAAAGCATGACTGAAAAGGTTATTGTATTTAACTGTTTGTTTTTTTTCAATGCAGGATGAATTTCACTCCAGATTGCGCTTCAATCGGAGAGGTTTGGTTGCTATGGCAAACGCAGGACCTCATGATAATGGCAGCCAGTTCTTCTTTACTCTTGGACGGGCTGATGAACTCAACAACAAACACACCATTTTTGGAAAGGTGAAGAATATTAAATGACCCATTTAAAGGGGTAGCTTCCCAAAACTGAGAATAGGCCAGGATTTTCTGCTAAATAAACAAAACAAAAAAATTTGTTTAGGTTTTTTTTTTTTCCAGCAAGGATGCATTAAAGGGGTCATATGATGCGATTTCAAGTTTTCCTTTCTCTTTGGAGTGTTACAAGCTCTTGGTGCATAAAGAAGATCTGTAAAGCCTCGTTTATAATGGGTTTTAATGTTTTTGTCTCGTCGCTCCGACCCTACGGTATGGTAGGGGCGTAACATTTCCGTCACACGCTTGAGGTATTCGGCCAATCACAACGCACTGGATAGCTGGCCAATCAGAGCACACCTCGCTTTTCAGACCGATGAGCTTTGTAAAAATCGACGCGTTTCAGAAAGGCGGGGCATAGAGGAGCAACAATAATGTACAGTATGTGGAAAATAATGTGTTTTTTGAACCTTAAACCGCATAAACACATTTCATTACACCAAATACACCAAATAATGTTCTTTTTAGCAACATCATATGACCCCTTTAACTTAATTAGGATTGGCTTTAAAAAGATTTATAATGTTGCAAAATATTTCTACATCACATAAATGCTGTTCTTTTCAATTTTCTGTTCATTAGAGAATCCTGAACAAAAAGTATCGCATTTTCCAGAAAAATATGAAGCAGCACAACTTATATATCAGTTTTCAACATTGATAATAATCAGAAATGCTTCTTGAGCATCAAATCAGCATAATATAATGATTTCTGAAGGATCATGTGAGACTGGAGTAATGATGCTGAAAATTCAGCTTTGATCACAGGAATAAACTACATTTTAAAATAAATTTAAATAGAAAACAATTATTTTAGATTGTAATAATATTTAACAATATTACTGTATGTTTGATGAGATAAATTCAGCTTTTGGTGAGCATAAGAGACTTTTTTCAGAAATATTAAAAAATCTTACTGGCCTCGAATTTTTAGTGTACAGTAAAATAAATGTAATTTCTATGTGAGCTAGGTCTTTGCACACTGAGTCCGAAATTCTCGTCTGATATTTTCACACGTTAAAAAATAAATACGACCTTGTGTCAATCACGTTTACAAACTGCCTCCGAAACTTTCATCCATCATACAAAAATTCGGATCAGGTTTGATTTTCTGCGTTTTCGCATCTGTAGCAAGCATTTTTATAGGAAAGGATGACAAATACGAGAAGAAAAAATTTGGACTCAGTGTGCAAGGACTTTTACTCGTTTATCCAACAATGTTGATTAGCATATGTTGCGGTTTTTATTTATTATTTTTGTTTCATTAATTTCACAGTTTGTCTGTTGTGGTTTTGGCTGCAGGTCACAGGAGATACGGTGTATAACATTCTCAGGCTAGCAGAGGTGGAGTGTAACAGAGATGAACGGCCGCTCAACCCACACAAAATTCGATCCACAGAGGTTTGTTCAGTCCCATCACGAACTGGCTTTACCGTTTTAATTTGATTGACCTTTGTTTTCATATGGAGTCGTTGGTTTTGTGCAGGTCTTACATTCTCCCTTTGATGACATCATTCCACGTGAAATTAAAGTTAAAAAAGAGAAAAACAAAGGAGAAGGGAAGAAATCACAGTCCAAAGCAACAAAGTATGTCACACTATTTCTTTCATTTATTTAGATACCAGCATTAAAGACAGCATGATGCAAGCATTCACAATGCGTTTAACGTCTATTACGTGATGTATTCCAGCGGTTCTTAACCTTTTTGACTCAAACTCTCCCTGTTGTCAAACACGATATTTGAAGGCCACATAAGCTAGGATATTTTTTGATATTTCTGCTGTAATTATGACAATAACTGCTTGTTTTCAAGCTTCTTTTAAACAGAAAGTTAAGAGTTGATATATATTTAATTTAAAGTTAGTCAGTTTATTTTGATATATTAATAATAATTTATGTATTTGAATATTTTAAGTGATTTGAAGGCTTACTGAGGCCCCCTGGTTGAAAACTGCTGATGTATTCTGAGTTGTAATATATCACTGAAAATAGTGATATTTGATTTTATCTATTAGTATTGATTGGATTGCTGAAAGTCACTTGTGACGTTATTGTGGTTATCGCAAACACCACTATAATTCAGAATTCGTCTGAACATTACATTTTCAGAACTTGTTCTGCATTTTGGCCTGCAGACAAATAATAATCATGCATAGATTTACAGAAAATAAATTGAGTCAATCTCTATTTGTTCAGTTTTTTACCCTTTATGATTAAATTTATAAAAATGGTTTCATTTTGTATTTTGATGCTGTAATGTTTCCATAATGTAATGTTAACCAGTATAATTTTTCTATAGGAATTTCAACTTGTTGTCGTTTGGCGAGGAGGCCGAGGAAGATGAAGAGATGGCCAGTCAAGTCAGCCAGGTAGCTTTCTGTCCAATGAGAGGATTCAATGATTATTCATTTGTGTGAAAATGAGCAGTAGGTGCTTTCACCATTATTTCATTCATCCTTGCAGACCTTGAAAGGAAAAAGCAAAAGCAGTCATGACCTGCTGAAGGATGATCCCAAGTTAAGCTCTGTTCCTGTCGTTGACAGGTCGGGAAAAAACCTACTTCACATAAATAATTCCGCTTTCTATTGTAATGGCTTTGTTTCATAATGCAGATGTAATCCATAATTAATGTAAAAACAGTTTATTTAAAACTCTATTTTTGTTTTTTGTATGTAAAGGAACCAAAGTGGTGGAGATGATTTTGAGGTACGTTCTATTTGGTTTGTGTTCAAATCAAACTGTGATACTGTGATGCAAGTCTGCGTCTGTTATCCGCTCCAGGATGCAGGTGATGATTCAGAGGACGACAGCGAT